CAAACCATTAATGACATTCCAATCAAGCATTAATTGCTCTTACAAAGGTGACATCAAGGGTATTTTGGACCTTTGACAACAAAAAAGTGACATTTTCGAACAAATTTAGTGCACATGAAATTTTTTTTGTGAATTTTCAAATTTAGTGACATTTATGAAAATCTCCCTTCTAAGAATCAGTGCAATGCCGCCTCATTCTTCTGTTGCTCCTTCCTCTCTCCAGGAGTCATCTGAGTTTGGAACCTATTGAACAAACTGATAATATCATACACAAACACACATCAAAGTCTTATCTTTTTGTGAAACAAGAATGAACAGATTGCACATAGCAATGATTTATTTCCCTTATTCATCCTTTTCATATAAACCAAAATTAAGATTATCACACATCAGAATAAAAAATCCTACATGATTGAAACCTGCTACATAAATTGACAATGCCATAACAACACATACATTGTCCACATAGTAATATCATAGGTTAGTAATATCATAGGTACATGGTTCTGCAGAGAACTGAAAAGCATAGGCAATTGCTTAAATATGCAAACCCTTACATGGAAGCATAGATTTGAAGATCTAAAGACAAAATGCACAATCTTAAATGGAGAAATGTTTGAAACATATTCAAGAAATTACCCATCTTTCATAAACCCACTGAAGAAATTCAGCTCAATTGTCAAAGCACCACCACACGGGCATTTCTGTTGTGATAAAGAAGACTCTCCAATCCTCTCTGCTGCCGAACACCAAACATCCAAGCCGGCGAATTCCAGACCACAAAAATCTTCATCGTACACCTCCATCTCCTGAAAAATTCCTCCATAAGAACCCATTGCACCCTTGAAATTAACTGCACGATTTGAATTTGTAAACAGTAAAAAGTAAGGAAAAAATACCTCTTGACTCGCTTCTTCTTCTTCTTCTGAATATCAGTTACAGCTCCTTCAGTGCTGCAGTCTCAATCTGTATTATTCGTCGGTTTTACCCTCGTTTTATCGACTCCACCGCCACCATGAGTTGAGAGAAATGAGGCTGGGAGTGGAGAAGAGTGAAGAATTTAGAGTAAAGAAAATGAGGCGGGAGTGGAGACTAGAGAGGCAAGGCGATTGAAAATTCTAGGGCTTCTTTCCATTTTATGTCG